TTTGACGAGAAAGGTTTCTTGGAAGGGGTATTCGGACGGACTTTTCTAATGCGTGTGCCATTACCTATAGCTGGGCACAGCGAGCTGCCTTNCAATGAACAAAACAACAAAATGACAAAAACTCTCCCCGGCCGGGAATTGAACCCGGGTCTCGCATGTGACAGACGCGGATACTCACCACTATACTTCCGAGGACCCACTCTTGCCTGCTCAAAGTTCCCTTGCATTCATGAACTTGCTGTTCTTTATTGCTCCTTCCAATAAAAGAAACGTAAAAATGACAAAAATTCACCCCGGCCCCCTGCATTCATGTACTGATATGGCAAAAATGTGACAAGACGAATCAAGGTGTCTCAAGTGACGTTATGTTCTCGTTGTGCTCACAACTCATGTGTATCCACACTCAGAAATATGAGGTATCTTTTTCTTGAAGAAATATGAATCCATCAGAAAAGTCTAAAGCAAGGCTGCCGATAAACTTCACAGGTGTTGAGATATTCACTTTATATTGAGCGATACCGTTCATCTCCAGTATGACTGCTTTCATAGTCCGCAAGCAAGCGAGCGCGCAAGTCGGCCGGGGGATTACTCGTCCGGCGGTATCGACCAAGATTCAATTGTGAACAAGGGACAAGCGCCGCGAAAAGTCGCTCGGTCGCTCACGGGCCAAATCGCGGACTATGAAAGCATTCTATAGCCGCTCACAGAATCTTGTCCAAGAAAGTAAAATTTCGATGCACATTTTTCTTCGACGATGCCGTTCGGGAGCAATGGAAACATTTTGGAAGGTCGAGTTTTGTATTCTTAAGTGGAACATGCTTTGATCCTCACGATTTGCTTGTTACGAAAATCATTTTACAAGAATTGTCTGAAAAGATCGTGCTAGTTAAAGCGGCGACTGGAGACGTTACCAGCACCAGGTCAAAGAGTTCGAAGGGCAGCCATTTCCTCCCCCGGAAAGATGAAAAATCACATATCTTTGAATGATCATAACGTCTTTCAAAAAGGCTCGTAAGCGAATGGTCATCAGTTCCAGCAGAAATTAGAGTGTTCATTCCATCAAAGGTACTTTCTAGGGTGTATCTACTTCCTTCCAGTTCTTACTATCGTTTCGCAACTAGCATCTTACATAGATTTTCACTCTGCCCTTCGCTGAAATGTGTGCTGGCTTTAAACAAAGCTATGTTACTCTAATGCTTTGAAGGCACAGTTCACTATAATCTTGTAGAACGTGGTTTCAGTTGAATAACGGAAATAATCGCCCGTAATATTGAGAAGGTATCAAAAAAACGCGGAAATCGGCATATTTAGAGAAATACAAGGCTTCTACTAGAGTAGATGAAGCAGTGGTTGGACGAGAATTTGACGAGAAAGGTTTCTTGGAAGGGGTATTCGGACGGACTTTTCTAATGCGTGTGCCATTACCTATAGCTGGGCACAGCGAGCTGCCTTTTGCAAGATAAGGTCCCAGGGCGAATGACACAATTTTCACTGTCACAGGTTCATTGAAGGGAGAAATATCAGTAACCATTTCTATCGTGAACTGCACCTTCAAACGGTGACAGCTTCGGACGTCTGTTCTACTGAAGAGCTGCATAAAAAGAAATATCGCATTCAAATTAGCGAGGGCTGACGTAAGACCTAAGTAATACATGAATTGAAGATCTTTTATGAATTTCAAACTTGTGCCATGAAAACTAATGAACGACCTTTCCCAATCAGCCTTTGTGCAAAGGGCTCGCGCCTGTCTGACCGTTTGCTTGTCTGTCACGAATTTCTGTATTATCTGAAAAAGCGCCTAAAGAGGACGAGTCAAGTTCGGGATGGATGGAGTACAGGACATGATCACAGTACACCAGCTCCGCCCATGGCGGCAGAAGTGAACGGTGCTCAAATAAATCTTGAAGAGGAGCAGAATTCCTTCGACCCTTTCCTAAAATTTTGATCCATATGTAGCAGGCAATGCAGTACGGTCGTACCGATATATGTATATGTTTTTCATATGTCAATCCACAACTATTCTATCACATGAAAAATGATCGCTTGCGAGACTTGCATCACTCCATTCGGCTAGAAGAGGTTAACGTAAAAAACTAACTGGGACTGTGAAGACGATTGACATTCCAGTCGTCTTGGAGTTAATCCTGAATTGTTGGTGTCAGTGAGGAAAGACGCCGTTTCGGCCGTTGAGCAAAATTGAGGGTCTTCACCTCTGCTTTCAACCAAACGTTTTGAAGAGTTTACCTAAAAATTTAGATTTCTGGCACACCTCAAGATGAGGAAGAGGTTCTCGAAGTTCTGAATACCTAGACATTGATACGGGTCAATTTTTATAAGCTCCAGTACTGATGTGAGGCGATCAATTTCGTGCGTAGTTCCCCACTGGGGAGAATATCGCTCAGTTACTGTTCCTTCTATAAGGCCACCGAAAGATCTCGGCCTTGGCTATCGAAGATCAAAGACGCAGTGTAAAACGTTCTCTTGCACAGTTTCCAGGTAAACTGAGCATGGGAATTGCTTATGGAATAGAACCTTCAATCTGAGCGTAGGATTTTTTCTTCATTTCTCAACGAAACGACAAAGTTTGCTTAAAGTGTAATAGTTATTTTTCGACTGAAACTACCAAGACTAAATTTCTTTCCACTTCACTTCTCTTCCTGCTCGACGACGTGTTTGGATCTGTCATCATCGTATGCAAACACATTTTGTCGTGGTGGATAAGAAACGGAATTCGCAATATTGAGTTCCATACTACGCTGCGAACAGTACATTTTACTTACAATTAGACCAAATGAAAAAACTAGAATGGGGTTGTGATACGCCACCGCAGTTGTCTATCAAAACTAGGAAACTCAGTGCGCGACCGTTTCGGAATCATTAGGAGCTCAGGATCATTCATCTTTCATCAGTTAATATTAAGGATCCTTACAGTTTTAGCAACGACTGCCACAAGCAGCTACCTGGTGTCAACGAGCACGTAGAGTGTCCCGGCCTACACCCGAAAAACTAGGATCGTCACATGATGAAGTGCATTGTACTTGCTCTGAACAGTATAGCAGGCAGAACCGTACGACGTACCCTTCTCAACGATGAGCATTCTGCATCCTCAGCGCCGAACACAACCACTGGATCCACACTGATCCGAGATTTGTGCACTTTCTGCTCGTTGAATATCCTGTAGGCAGTATCCAAAAACTTACCATTAACTGCTGAAAGGAGATGAAATGGAGACTATGTAGAAAAAACTATAATAGAGTATTGCACTGTCTAACGATAGAAAAAAGCTAATGAAAGAAAGCTCTGAATGACACTGTGAAACATAGCCAAAGAAATTGTTGCCAAACCCTCCATTATGTGAGTACAAATTCATTCCTTTGATTATACTCAGATAGTTCTGCTGAGATTAACGTAAGGAACAGTCATTAGAAACAGAAAACGGAGTGAAAGACCTGGAGGAACTACATAATCAATGCAAGATACAAAGCAATGTACGCAACCTTGCCGTAGTGATACTTCTTCGTCTTCTCCTTAGCGTCGAATCGTTGCCAGTGCCCCTGCACTGTTCTTGTATGCGTCTCCATTTCATCCTATCTATAGCATTTTATGCTGTTGCATTAATTTCGAGGTCCTCCTAGTTAAGCTCCTCAGGTTCCCTTTGGAGCTTCTCATGATCGTCTCCTCAAGCCTCAAATTCCGTTGGATCCACAGTCGGATAATTCAGTGGCTTTCTCGCTATGCACCAGCGTAAACTGCTCCCTCATCTTCAATTCAACGCGAGCTATTTGTGGACCGTCCCAATCCCATCGTTTCTCACTCGGCTCAACATCACGCTACCACTATTCCTTTTCAATATCCTCATTCATCAGAGTGAAATTTTCTCTCCTAGTTCTTCCGCGTTGAGCATTCATTCTTCAAAAACTCTTCAGAACATTGACGCCAAAAAGCGGTTGCCTCAGGAATGCTGGGTAGCAAGACCTTCGCCTTGCTCGATACTCCTCCATCACTCCTCCTGCCCTGATGATAACAACGGCCGTAGCTATCTCTGGAATGAAGCCAAACTGATTCCATGAGATCAGAACAAGTTCTCTTGATCTTCGATGAACCGCTAATACTTTCATTGTGTGCACAGCCAACAAGATCCTACTGTAAATCGTCTCCTCTTTCTGCTTGGAGAAAAGAGGGTTAGTACTGCTGGATCAAGTGTTTCTTCAGCACTTATACTGTTCAGGAACTGGATAAGCCACTCAATCCCGTACTCTTTAAACACTTTCATGCCCCGGTTGACACTCCATCTGGGCTAGTGACTTTCCTGGCCCTCATCTTCCCTACTTCATGACGAACCTAACCTGTATATCGTGTGACTGGTCCGCCAGTCGCTCCTTCTTCGGAGCTGTTTTCATAAAAATTACTCTTCGTTTTACTGGATTCTCGAGAGAGCACTTTTTCAGTCCTTGACAGCTCTCACTAATCCGACGTCTTGAAAACACAATGCCTTGCGTGGTCTCGAACTATAAAAGGCCCAGCTTTGTATTTGGTTCGCCCCTGCAACCTTGGCATGGCTCTTGCGGCTATTGTATGAGGCTAGGTCTTCTCGTCCTTTGCGAACTCCTGTACGCGTCTTCCCTCTGCATTATGACTATTTGGACATCATCGTTCCACAGAAATGCTGCCTTGTCTCTTCAGATAACCTCACGGGAAAACTTGCACTTTCAGCTTCTGTGATATCTTCTATGAGTCCTCAATTCCTCCCTCCCCCTCTTGGCTTGACACCACGGAAATTTTTTTCTTATTTCACCATTCACATGTGTTATTTACAAATTGATTAGTGAAGGAGAAACTTACACTTCAAGTAATTCTTTCTCCACGGCACCACCATGCTGTAGAACGCGAAGCAACATATGAGCAGCACAAAAAGAAAGAGGATTATGAAAACACTTTGAATATTGATGAACGTTCTGTAGAAGAAGGCTAGAACTCCTTTTTTCGCCTTGTCCACTGAAATGAAACACATAAACATCATCATAGACAACGCAATCTTTTTAAAAATTTATTCTCGGGGAAGGAGATGCGCTCTCGAAGACACAAAAAAAGATTCAGGGATGTATCTTGCATCTATGGATTAATGCGTAGTGGCTAAAAATAAAGACGAAAGGGCGCAGCACACTCACAACCTTACTCACTTCATTTCAAACTCGTTTTGCCACAGCTCTCAGGTAATAACTATTTCCAGCAACAATCTTCAATGCGCGACCTTCTTGAACGTTTATTTGTTTCACTGTTCACATAAGAACAATGTAACTGTGAATTCCCACTACTACGATCCCAGAGAAAACCAGAACGATGGATTCTCGCGACTGAATTCGGAGAAAACTTGGGGCCAGAGCAAATTTAGCAGCGATTTTTGTTCACTCTATAGAGTGCAAGAGGCACTCTCTGGGTTACATGCACGTATTGAGACCGATTACATTACTTCCATCAGGCTTATAGAACGTCGAAAAGCGTGCTAGCATTAGTATTACTTCAAAGGCATCTTACAATTTGTATCCAATGAAATCGTAGGACTCGGTGCACTCCTGCCTGCGTAATTTTCAGCCATCAAGGAGAATTCATAATTTTCATCCTTCAACAGGTCTTCGATGACCGTTTCACTGTCATTCCCTCGTAGATGACGCTAAAAAGATGGGGTTGAACTAAACATAGGCCTAGTCTACTTAATAACCAACAGCTCGAAAACGGTCAAATATATTCACTATATGCACTTCAGCTATGAAAAATACTTGAAAGCTGAAGGGGTTATATGCTGCTTCATAAATAGGCGAGGTGCTAATAGTGGAAAGCTACCGAAAAGAGGATTGTTAGGAAGAATCAGAAAATTATAGCTCTCCTCGACCGTCCTGTCTTTGGATGTCGTCTCGAGAGGTCCAATCAATAACAGCNCAGTATAGCTGTCATGAGGATATTGCAGGAGGAGTCCGGCCCACCGATTCTTTGATTCCTGCACGGAGTCCCTGATCTTCGTTCACGGACGGAGCTCGGAGTTACAGATTCCCTTATGCACTTGCGTGTAACGATAGATTTTGAGCAGCTCGTCCTAACTCGTTTAATGACGCTGACCGCAAATTGATCCTTCTTTCATAAGTCCAAGTCTCCCAGACTACGCCAATGCAGGTAGGAACGCAATGGACGAAAGGCGACCGCGGAGCCGAATGTTCTTTAATTTCATCGCCAATACTCTCGAGTGCTCCCCTCCCCAATCCCTTTTTTGCGGAGGTACATAGGCAGTTCATCAAGATAACTTCTCCACCTAGATACATTTATAATACAAACATCCAGAGATATCGGTTCCATATAGCAGGAAGAGAGCTTCATTATGTATATTGTGTAGGAACACTCTAGCTTTTAGAGGCTTCTTTTGTCGCTTCTATGTTGATGTAGGTAAAGGGTATCAAAGGCCTTCTTCGAATCGACGAAAGTCCTGTAATTTGCACTCTAGCGGTACTTCAGGGAATATTCTGACAGTGTGAAGGTGATGGACCGTTCTCGCGACCTTCATGTGGTATTCTGCCAATCGTGATGAAGTTTGACCTGTTTGAAAAGTTCGTGTTGTATATTACAGGCGAGCAGATTGGAAGATACTGAAATACATTCCCTAGGTCTCCCTTTTAGACAGCAACTCAACTCTGCTAGTTCCCCGAAAAGTTGGCGTTATGCATTCCAACAGGTAACGCGTGAATGATCAAGCAAGAGTTTTGACGATGTCTGATGGGAGGCTCTTGATATATTTGGTCTAATACTGTCTAAGCCGCCACTCGTGTTCCGGTTTCATAGATATCTTCGTAGAGGTGATGGCATTCGATTCGGAAGTGAGACCTGTAACGAACGACATGAGCATAGGATTTATGATAAGATGACAAGTGGGCAAGTAGACACGACTACCGAAGAGGTCAGGAGTAATAAATGACTTATTTCATTGTTTTCTCAAATGCAGTGTTTATTTCGTCGGGATGGCGAGGTGTGGTCATCTTGGTCTCGAGCATTGCGGTCATATTTCCCAATTTCAGCAGCTTCAGCCACAACTGCTGTTCCTCTCTCCTTCCAGTCATCCTTTAGTCGCTTCTTTACATAGCCTTGCAAGCCCCTTCGTTAATTTATTTTTCGCCCGCAGCTCCACATTATCGTACGTGCTCGAGAGTTCTGGGTGTAGAGATACACAGTTGCTGGATGTCCAAATCTATTCGATAGTGGTTCAGTGATATAGCGTATGTAGCGAAGAACATCGTAGTTGATAAATTTATTAACACCAACGCCGATCCAATGAGATGGAAGATAAAGTGAAAGCGAACCGTACTCCTACTTCTTATACTCCTAGTACGAAACAATAGCGCGAGTCAGGTGATACTCTTGGTTAAGAATGATGCGATCCATTTCACCATGCAATTCATCCGATGCAAGCATTCGTGAACTGAAAGACAGCTCCTCGTCTCAGTCTCACTTCTTTGGAGCAGCGATTTCTTCGAGGTGTTTTGGTCCAGAGCTAGCCTTTCCCAAGCGCTTCCATCAAGCTGTCGCTAGTAAGTACTCGCTGAATATCAGGAGGGTGAGAGCCACTTATGTCACACGTTTGCCACATGGTAGCCACACCTGTAGCCTGCCACGCTCTTACAACTAAGCTGGATAGAGTCCGTGCAGACTTATTCAGGCAATCTTTAAGGTGGACAAAGAGCTCAGACTAAAGATCTTGGTTTGCCTTTCATGTGCTGCCCAAGCATTCGACTGCAACTTTCATGGCTAAGTCGACGTGCACAACACTTAATTCACGCATATTCTCTTCTTTCCTGCATGTACATAAGCGAGCAAACATCAACTGACTCAGCACAGGAGAGAAGTCAGTCTATCCCTTGCTATCTGAATTTCTAGGGAAGTGCTTGTGATTTTCGCCTCGTAATTCACCTTTTTTCAAACACCTGCTATCTGCATCTCTTAGAAAGTGTTTGTGATCTTTGGCTCGCAATTCACCTCTTTTCGAAGATTGGACGCTAAGTAGATTCACCACCAATCGGCTGGGAATCTTTCAGTTAGAAAGTACCCTCTTTTATGGTGTGCAATGGCCACGGGTAACATTTTGAAGTAGCAAAGCTGTCTTTAATGAACTTCAGCCGCTATTGTCGTAAATAGAATCTCTTGGTATTGCTGTAGTGTACACTTGAATATCTCTCACTGCTCTCGACGAAAGTTGCAAAGCAATAGTTGGATAAGAGAGTCGGCGGTAGTGATATCTTTGAAATTTCAACATCACCTTCAAGGGTCGTAGAAGGGCAGTAAACGCTACACTCGGAAACATTTCCGATGTCTTTTGAGCCCAGAGAAAAGCGAAAAGTATGGAATAGGAAGAGTTCCTGCTGTTTTGGTTCTGATTTGTAGCTTAGTGTGACTTGAGGCGAAAAGTAGGAGCAAGATGGGAGATTGCCACGAATGTCTGTGGACAAAATGAATAAAAATGGAAGAGAAAACCGGAGAAGAACTATTTGGAGGGTGCTTTTGTAGGAAACTTAAATTATCCTTTGTATGTCGTTCTTTGAGTACCGAAGTTAATCAGTAACCAATATATACATTGGACTGACCCATCATAAAGTTTGTCTCCGAAACAGAAGTAAAAATATCTACAACTGGGAACAAAAAAATTCATTTTTTTGAAATTACTCACCGAGTGTGAACTTTCAGAGCTAACCGCGTTGAACTGTAAAATGAAATGGCGAGCTTTTGCATTGGGATTCGTAGCAACGTGTACCCATGTGAGTTTCGCAGATGTAGCCGACAGTAGTGAAGCAGACGTGATCTTAAGTTAGAGGATCAACAGAACGCAATGGTTGGTGAACAACTGGCGCGATACGCGAACCGTAAATGTAGAAGGAACAACCCTACATTGAATTGAATTTTACGTGTAGCTTGAAGAGAGCTAAACATGCTGAACAGTTTGCTCGTGAATAAAGGGAGAAGATATGCTGCTTGGGCAGCTCTCGGTTCATTCCGTAAAGTCCCCCAGGTCAGTGGTCTCAACCTAGGGGCATCAAGTCTCAACGCCTCAGTACAGCCACCGAGGCATTATTCGACTGAAACGTGGCTTGACAAAAAAGAAAATCGTCAAAGATACAATGCATAAGAAAGGTGTTTTGCGAAGAACAGCCAACGCCTCAGTGGCAACAAGGCTTGCGAAGCTCAGACCCAGAGAAGTGATAACGTTTGAAGGACCTATGGTGCATTCGATGCACCGTTGGACCGATCATCTACTTTGCCGAAAGGTTTACAGTTGGAATCTCCGAGAAACATAATGATTTCCAAAAAGTAAACAAATCGTTGGAATTGCCGCCAACTCGCTGGATCGGTTCGTTCTACAGATACTTCAAGGGAGAAGGCACTAACTGGATGCATCGTTTGGAATGGGATATGTAGCTGTGGTCATCGTTGAGATGACCGCCACTCAAAGGATCATTTAAGTACCAAGGTAAGTAATATTAGTATAAGTATTTGCATGAGTATTAGGAAAATTGCTAATTTAAGTGCAGGTATTAAAATCAGATTTATTATTGTACCGGTATGAGTAGTGTCAGTCTTAGAAGCTAATTCTCAGCAAAGTACTCAGTTTTCAGGATTTTCAGTGGCTTTTTGCCAACAAACGTATCCCTTTTTCATGCATGACTATATTTGAGATTGCAACATGTCAATGAACACGAATTCCACACGATGGAAATGTTGCTGAGATTACCAGTGGTGCAGAAGGAAGAATGTCATCGGGTGGTGGATCGACTGTCATCCAGGAAGTTGCATTACTTTCCACCACGGACTTGTCATCCTTGAGTAGTTTAACCCGGAATTGGTACCTAAAATTCATAATGTTCGGCAGGCATAACTATCCTGAGCAGTCCGATTGGCAGTAGCAAAACAAAGGGATCGTTCCAAAGCTTATTATTCACTTCGAACGCGCCCTTCACGCAGCCTTTCAACTTTTATTAGAAATCGAGTCCCTTCCATTATTATATTAGTACTGCTTAGTTTTTGGAAATCGGAGACTGACGAAGGCGGAAAGGACGCAATTAGGTCCAATGGAAAGCGTGAAATTGCTTGAGTGATNTATAATCAACGTAGAGCTTATGCGAACAGTACTTTTTTGTCTTACAATTAGTGCCTTCCTCATAGACTTTTCACAGTTAGGAACAAACGAAAACTGAAATTTGCGCAAGTCGAAGAGCATGCAAAACCAATGGCTGATCCGGGGAGATTCGGGAAATAAACGCTATCCCTCAATACGGACGTTGCTATCGTGTGCCAAAAGCGTCCCCTACTTTCGCGAGCCCATACGGCCTCACCTCCAGCCCCAAGCATCGCCCAAAGTTACTTTCGTCATATCGTCATGTGACGGATGGATGAAGACGTTGTTAGCTTTGTTGTTTCTAAGGTGATGAACTTGCAGAGCGCAGTCCTTACTAACCTTTTATTGGGAACGAGATCCTTAATGGTTGTGGCACGTACATGGCTATCGACATTGTCGACGTCAATCCAAGAATCGTTGGCATTTCCATCAGATCGGAGTTCAATTCTTAACAAGAAATTGGGCAGAGGTTTGCAAATATAATATTTAATATTATTCCTAAATGAGAGGACATTATCAAGATATCAACAGACGTAAACAAAATCTTTGGAACTGGAGCATATCTTCAATGCATCAATCCTTTCATTGCTTCGTCTTCATCGCATTAACACATATACTGATAACAAAATGTAATAACAAAGCTTATACACAGTAAACCTATCTTGTAAGTAAGCTGGAGTACAGATAAAACAATCAAAAGAAACAAGATCCTACGCTCTCAAAATAGAGGGGGACTACTCTTTTGAGTCCATGGCTGGGGTCGTCGTGGCAAGGTCTGTCGGCCTTCCCCAGCCGATACCCCCTGGGCCTTGGAGGGAGGGGTTGGCCCGCCGTCCTGTCCGGAGTCGCAGGTAGGGTGTTGTGGTCCGATGGGCGTGAAGTTTTGAGAGCTCGAGTACGGCCGATGCGGTTCGCGTCCAAAGGGTGGTCATGAACCAGTCCGAGAGGGCGAACTTTCGTGTGACTGAGGTCATGTCGTACGTCAGTGTGAGGCAGTCTCCAGTTAAGAAAACTTTATGTTTGATATCGATAATAAGCTGTCAGAAGGTAGACAATTGAAGAGAGTAACAACATTGCCAAGGTGAATCGCTCCAGAGAACAATTCCTATTTCGGACTGATGAAATAACGCAAAATTCGATCATCACGATTACAGAGCTTTTGTCAAATATTCACTGAATGCATTCATTCCGTAGGGCGGGGGTGGCGTAGTAGCAAGTGGCGCACGATCTCACACGCACGGTCAGTGGTTCGAATCCCGGATCGGTACCCGTCTAGGCCAACCAAGACTTTGTTCCCTTCAGGATCGGTGAGTTGGCACCAGTCTCGTCTGGGAGGATAAAAGCACTGAGTTGAACATCGGCTGGCCACCGCAAGTCACTGTATAAGCCACATGCGCACTCTTGCGCC